CATTAGAGCACAACTACAGGTTACAAAATTAGCAGCGAGTTTAACTGAGTTCTTCAGGGACACCGGAGGAAGTCTGGCTTTCCACCACCAGCACCATTCAACTGCACAAACTTCTGCGGTTATTACAGCTCAAGGTTCACCAGTCGCGAACGCTTTCTTTCAAAAACAAAGATCATCACGCATTCTGCCCATCAACGTAAACCTTTCAGCTGTTCCTTAGCTCACTACCTCTCTCGCAGCCGCCCGCTCCAGGGGCGGCCCAATGGTGCTGTGGGAAGCCGCGGCCCGCCCCAGGGGCGGCTCCTCCCGGGCCCGTAGCTCGCCTTAAAGCCGCGATCGGGACAGGGAAGGAAGAAGCCCCACTGCTAGCGTCCGGCCATGGCCCGCGACCGCGGCCCGCCCGTGCTGTGGCAGTCCCCGGCTTCCCCGCGCCTGCCCGCAGCCGCTCTGCCGGCCGAGGCCCGCGGCTGGGGCTGGCTGGGAGCGGGGCTGTGGCCGGCGCTGGTGGTGGGGCTCCTGGCCGCCCTGGTCGCCTGGTTCTGGTACGGCGGCAACGACGGACGGGGAGAGGAGAGCGGCGAGGCGGCCCCGGCGGTCCAGCAGGCGAGGGGAGAGGCGGAGGCTGCAGGTAGCGGGCTGGGGACTGCGGGCTGCTCGTGCCCACCCGCGGGGGCTTGAGCTAAATGTCTTGCTTAAACTGTGCCTGTTTTAATTCTGTTCTTAGAGGACCTTCTGGTGAGCAGTGAGGAAGTGCTGCGGCAGGCAAAGGCTGCTGCTCTGTCCAGCCTTCAGAAACCAGGAGAGGATTTGACGGCGGCACCAGGGAGTGAACTCAACCATACCCCGAGCGGTACAGCTTCCTCTAAATCTCCAGAGACCGAGCAACTGCTGCCAAAGCAGTGTGTCACCTCCTCGGAGACTGACGCTGGGCAGCGTCTGGCTGATGAACGTGATGGCCAGGGAGAATCGAGACCACAGGTGGGGCAGGCGGGTGAGGGATGGTGCGTGATGAACTTGGCAGGAGCCTCTGGTGAGGTTTGTAAGGACAGAAGTGAAGAGAAGCTGTGCCAGCCAGCCGAGAGCCGTGACTTGGACCATGAAGATTGGGAAGTTGTTTCTGAGCACCTGGACTGGGGGGAGGCTGGTCAGAATGGCAGCATGGAAGACTCAGACAGCAAAGAATGGGAACAAGGAGACTGCTCTGATGGGGACTTGAAAGCAAAGAGAGTTGCAGCGGTGCCCCCAATGTTTCAAAACATCCACGTGACTTTCCGTGTGCACTACATCACACACTCTGCTGCTCAGCTGATTGGTGTTACCGGTGACCATGAGTGTCTCGGGCAGTGGCACAGTTATGTTCCCCTCAAGTCTGACAAGGATGGCTTCTGGTCTGAGTCTGTCACCTTGCCGGTGGACACCAAAGTAGAGTGGAAATTTATCTTGGTGGAGAACGGGAAGGTCACACGATGGGAGGAATGCAGTAATAGGACCCTAGTGACCGAACATGAAGATCAAATCGCTCATCAGTGGTGGGGATACCACTGACTGGATTTTGGACACTGCTTATCTAAACCTGCTTAGATTAATCACAGAGCCCCTAAACTTTCTCCCCTCTTCAGTAGGATACCTTTGTGACTGCGCCGCTCCGTAAGTCCCATATCAAATCTGATTAAACTGTGTGAGCAGTAGATCTTGGTTGCTCCCCTTTCCTCCCCCCCCACCCCCCCTCGATTTGGAAGTCACTTGGCAACCTGAAAAAACAATGTTGGCCATCTTCTGAAGATGTGCCAAGTAGGATATGAAGGCATGAGCAGCATTCTGAGCTGCTGCCTGTCTCTAACTCTGGACCCTGGACTTGAGTTGACCTTTGACAGTTTGTGCTGCTTTGAGTGGGGCTGTGGGATGCATCTTTGTGCTGATGGCTTAGGGCTACAAAAGCATACTAAGAAGCATGGTTACCTACACTGTAAGATGAACTTATATGTTTTAACTTATGTAATGTATCAAGTAAGCAATAAACACTTTCAGACTGATGGTCCTTTATAACACAACCTGTGAACTGACTGTCTATAAATTGTATAGAATAGAGTTGGGTTCCTTGACTGGAAATATTAGTGCTAAATGACTCCTGAAAAGTAGCAGGCACTCTTTAGAGTGACAATGGTTTAAGTACTTTGTTTCTTACTCCCTGCTCTCTAGGAAGCACCCCAGCTCAAATGAAGGCTTGGCAGATGCATTTATTTATTTTCACTTGTATCATCACAGTGAGATAGAGAGTGAAGGTCAGAAACAACTGTCTGGGCTTAATAAATTACTTTGTCAGAGTGGGAACAGGCTTTAAAAAAACAAACAGAACTAAAGCTGTTGTAATAATCAGGGGATAGGATTTTTCCTGAAATAGCATATGCTTCCAGGGCATATGTTGCTTGTGAAAACATTAAACTGTGGCTAACAAATACTTGGAATGCTTGTTTCAAGACTAGTCTTTACTGTGTGAAAGCTTAAGTAGCCTTCTAAGTAAGCCAGAGCACGCAGAACACTTCCAGCATCAACTTGTTGCTTCTGTTTTGTAAAAATAAGAGATCTGCCCCACTGGCTGCTTCTCATATTGTTAGTTCCAAATACGATGCTTCTTGCAGCAAGCTCTTCCCAAAAAACGAGGAACCTAGTTTGCAAATATCCCTTCACTACAACAAACCTGCTCTGGAGAGCATAGTTTCATTGGAGGTTTGGAACATACACTTTAAAAACCCATTGCAAAGCTCTTGTCTCTGCTTATGTTTTCCTGTGTTACATGGTGGAGCAGTCTGAGTAGATGAACTAGACTGTTTCTGAGCTAGTTTGTGTTCTCAGGTAAACCAAGCCCCTCCCAATGGTCATATATATATATATATATATATGAGAGCAACTTGTTCTGCAAGTTAGTTACTTCAGATAACAACATTATCTTTGCTTGCTGGTTGTCTTGAACAACCTGAAGATTCAGGCGAGGAAGTTTGCTTTCCTTCCTCAAGAGACCTTTGCTACCTGAGAATAAGGTAGGAAATGGGGGTGAGAGTTGAATTCAAGACTTGCTGCATTTTTTTTGCTTACTGCTTGCCTAGGATGAAAAGCACCTCCTTCAGTGTGAGAAGTGTTGTAGGGTCTGGAAGGTATGTGGAGTCACTAGTGACTGGGCACTAAGGGGGAGGAATGAGCTGACAGTTCAGGAGCTGATTGCTGCTACTTCAGTGATCTTAAATAGGTAGAAGTGTACACACTGCTCCTGAACTCTCAACCGACAACTCAAATGGGACTTAATCATTTACTACATGAATTTAAAAGGCTTAGGACCTATTTAGCATAACTTAGGTATAAAAAGTATTAGCATGAGACTCATTTCATCAAAGGGGCTACTGCTTATTTGTAACAACTATTTATCCTCTTTAATTATGACTGTGCTTACCATGTGCTAGCAGAAAGCTAAGTTCTGTCCATGTGCACTGCCAGTGAATATAAAACACTTGTGCAGGCTTCAGTCGGTAACATATGGCTTCAGTTGAATAAGAACTATGCAGAAATGAATTGCCTTGAACCTCACCTGCATTTTTTGCTCTTACCTAATAAAGAGAATAACATACCCAATATGTTGTAGGCTTATCTGAGAAGATTAATGGTGGTATTAGATTAAGGTATTCACCAGAAAGCCACTTGACCTACACTAGAATAGATTCCTTAATGCAATAATGAACGTGTTACAAACAGGCTAACCCTGAGAAGTCTCTCAAACTGAGGGCAATATTTTAGTTAAACACCATGCACTTTGATCCAAGAGGTGGCACATACAATCCTCATGCTTTCATCATCTTGCTCAATGATTGAACTGGGTTCTACAGAGACGTGCAATGTGTTTTTACTGTGAAATCTAAATTATCATCCTTCTCACATCACTGCTTGGCCTGCAGGACATATGCTACATAAGTGAAATGCCATTTGTATGGTGGAAAAAAGGAGATTTGGATTTCTGCGTTGTTGATACTGCAGTTGATTATTAACTTCTCAGAGAATCAATTCCTCATTACTGGACAATCTATTCATTCAAATCTGAAAACGTGTCTTGGTTATGGCTAGGATAATTTTCTTCCTATTAGCTCGTATAGTGCTGTGTTTTGGAGTTAGGATGAGAACAATGTTGATAACACACTGACATTTTGGTTGCTGAGCTGTGTTTGCATGAAGTCTGTCAAGGACTTTTCAGCTTCTCATACCCACCGTGCCAGCAAGGAGCTAGAAAGGGACAGAACCAGGACAACTGACTCACACTAGCAATGGAATAGTTGTTACTTTTCCTTTCTTCTCTCTTCTTTACTGAACTGTCCTTATCTCAACCTGTGAGCTCTTGCACTTTCTGTTTTTCTTCTCCAGCCCACAGCAGGATGCATGTGGAGGGGATGTGAAGAAATGTCTGCACGGTTTAGCTGTCTGCCTGTTTGAACCACAACAACATAGATTTGAACAAAGACAATACTGCATGAAAATGGTTATGCTAGAATGGCTCGGTACCTGTATAACAGTGTCCCAGCTGTGAAACTAATGAAGCTATATAGGAAAAAAAGATTATTATTATGTGGATCTAGCAATCAGCAGCTCAGAATTTCTATAAACAGATAATAAACTGCCTCACAGCTTGGCAAAGAAACTACAACCCAAGTCCTACAGCTTACAATGACCAGCTCAGGCTGTTGAAAACAAACTATTAGACAATGTGATTACTTTTAGGTGAAATACAATCTAGTCTTATTTGTGAAGTAGTTTGGTATACAAATGCTAAATAGTATCCCTGGAGGGTAAACTGAGCAGACAGCAGCAGCTTGGATGAGGACAGGGCTCTTACTGAACACTAACAAGTTTTAAATCTTGTACAGAAACTTGCATTGCATCTTGTCTGATTCCTATTTATTTTGCAGTTGCCTTTGCAAAAACCATACCCAGCACACATTTTCTTTGGGAGTTAAACTTACCTTGTGGAGATGCTTTACATGATGCATTCAAATATGCTAGGCTGGTGCTAGATTTTATCTGCAGGTTGCCATCTGTGGTGTCCTGCTGCGGTCAACATTTGCCTTACTCTCCTCTTGTCATCCACCTGTACAACATGGAATAACAAGGCGCTATTTGTGTTGTAAAATCCAGGATGTATACATTGGACATTGTGTGTGTGGCTCCTTATCTCCCCCTAGGCCTTCCCAGTCCCTCTGCTGGAAGCCCAGACCTGTTCTCACCTCCGTCAGATTCCAGCATGAGGATGTTAAGCTTTTTGCTTGGCAGATCTCCCTTCTCTGGCAATTTGTATCTTTCCACCTGTTCCCTTCTATTCTCACAGGACTGCAGCCATTTGAAACTACTTTTGGACTGACTCCTTGAACTCAACCAAGAATGCATTTTTCATTGACCTTTTACAACTTGCTGATCTCAGTCTCTACACCTCACCTTTTCTATGTAAAACTTTGTAGGTCTGTCAAATACGTGCACGAACTCTGATACAGAAGTCATCTAAAATAAATTATCCTTTCAACTCAACCCATTCGTAGGAAAGTAAGGGTGCCTTTTTAATGTTTTAACTAAAGCAATGCTGTTGGAAGAAAAAAAAAAAGCCAGTGGGGTAAAAAAGTGACTGAGAAATACCAAGAATTACTTGAATTCAATCAAAATACTGCTGACAACAACTAAAGACAGCTTCAGAACAACTCACTGATCTCTTCTTCCTTCACAAAGAGACCTTAAATTCAAACTCAGAGGTTTGATATTCTGGGTATAAGTTGCACAGCTTTAAAGGCAACAAAACCTAGATTGTATCTGGATGGGCTTGTGCTAATGAAGCTACTTTTGCAGGACTACTGATGTCACGGTTTGGACAAAATCACCAGATTGACTGTAAACCCTTCAAATTCAAGCACGGTATTCTATGCTGCCACAAACCTAAGGCAATCATTGCTTTTCAAAAAACAGACTAAAGAAAATTGCTAAAGCTAGGAATCTTGCATCAGTGCCACCTCCTGCTGACCCAGGTACATCGTTCAGCCCCTCTTCTGTGTTTGCACACCAATTATTGCAAGGGGACATCCTGCCTTTTCGAGTGTTTATGGGAAGAGGTCCTGTGCTAATAAGGCAACAGCCTCCACAACTGACATTTCAGAGAACCTTTTGTAGACTCTGAAGGGGAAGCATTATTAATCTGTCTCCATTTGTACTAAAAATCAAAGCAAATACAATAACAGGTAGTGAAAATTACACCAAAAATATCATTTTGTGAGTCATCATGTTGCTGGAAGGAATCATGGTATAGGATGAAATCTGTGCAGTCTTGCAATTATAGGCATGTTGTTCAAAACACTGTATTTACTACAAAGTTAACAGGAGCCATGGCTGAGTTTCCTGCTTAAATTGGGAACACTTGGTAGCTCTGGGACATCCAGATTAACTGGAATTTATGGAACTAGTAACATTAATTATAGAGGTGAAGGGGAAAGGATTTAATTTAGAATGCCAAATACATGCCCAAAAAACCAGTTCAAAACTAACTTTGAGAACCTGAAATAGTGTGCAAGATCCAGAATACATGGAAGAAAACTCCTACTTGAACATGAATCAGTAGGCAGTGCCTTGTGACCAGTGTCACCCACAGCACATGGCTACTGGCAATGTATGCCAGTGGAAATGCCTGTATTTAAATGTATATTTACTCTTCTGTACTTCCCACTCACTTAAAAGTAACAACTGTAAAGAGTGTCCTGGTAAGGACTGCAAAACTACAAGAACCTTCATTATCCATCTTTAAAAATAAAGTGTATTTTAAACACAACATACATAAAAGTAGTCATCAATGTATACAAATCTTCATTTTAATCACTTAATAGCTTTATTCTCCTTTTCATTTGCTTTCTCAATCTTCATTTCCTGAATTTTGATCATTGATGCCAAAGCTTAAAATAGAAGAAAGAACAGATTAGCTGAACACCAGCTTATGTTTAAACGATTGAGACCTCAGAAGCAGACTCCTGGAGCTTTCTAATACCCTTCCACCCTTTACACTCTGTATTTATCAAGATCTTACAAATATAGCTTGGGTTTGCACTTCTTCAGATGCAGGAAAGATGAGCCCAGTTATGGACAGACAGCAAATAATCTGCTTTCTGGAGCCCAAGTGCCAAATGGTGGAGTAATGGCAAAATCTTATATGTTTTAAAATCTTTCTTACAGGACAATGCCAATACATTTGGCTCAATGCTCACGACAAAGGATTGCTCATTGTGCACATAAGAGGCTTTTTAAAAACTAATCTCATTATAGATTTGTATATATATTTGTAAAGTAGGATACAGAAAACAGGCTACCTAAGGATGTTAGCACTGGTGAAGAATAAAATTGAGAACCTTTACCTTATACTTCATGGAAACAAAATGAATACTTTTACGTAATTCAGATCCCTGACATATGTGAACTGTAAGATGTAGGAAAACAACCATTTCCCAAATGCATGCAAGGAGACTTGAAAGGGAAAAGTGGGAATGATTGGAATGTGAAGCTAGAAAAAACACAGAGAAAAGAAATTGCATTTCACCTGGCGTTCTGCCATCATAGCCAGGATACACGGCGGTTTTACAAGTGAGCTCAAAGGGAGCAAGAACAGAACCTGAAAAGTTCTCCACAGTCACTGTGGTCAAATCAGATTTAAAAAACAAAGTTGAGGAAAGGATATGCTTCTAAGGGCACAGTGGGAAACAATGTTTTGGAGTCCATTGCTGTCATTGCCTTTCAGTTTCTGTAAGAGTCATCACCTCCTTTAAAATTTCATATAATTGGACATGACAACACACGATGGCACCCCGACCAGATGCCGTGTTTGGAATGTTAAGGATCTTGAAGCTTATTAGTGTTCAGGGGCTAAGCAACAATGCATCATGTAGTTAATCTAATTACTCTCCAGTGAGTAGAATAATGTACAAGTGGATCCTAGTAAAGTAAGTATATCTAAAATTACATCATGTAAGAATGCAGGTAGTGCTTTGGCAGGTAACAAAAACAGTTTCTAAGGAATACAGGTGTTTCAAATATAATATGACTATATTTGGTAAACTCTCACACCCTGGCTGTTCATCTGTAAGGTTTTCACCTGGTTTTGTAGACTTGAATGAACAGGCATTTCTTAATAGTTAGACATGCATTAATAATACAGGCTAGCTAACAGCTATGTACCTCATCTTTGCATAGCCAACCAGCCAGAAGCAGGAAAGGCCAATGAGCAAAAATACTCATACTCTAGTCAGGATGACTGTTCAGCCCAGCTGCTTTAGATATATCTCTTCAGTTAGAAAGAAGATCCCAGTGTTTCCAAAACACAAAAGGATGAAGTGACTGCAAAGCTTGCATTTATGTGATAGCAGCACAATGCAAACATGCTAAAGTTCAGTTAAAAATACAACAACAACAAACTCAGCTGAGAAGCAGGAAAAATTAGTCTTTTTTATGTCAGATTTCTGGCTGCACCAGTACTAGCTTAGAGCCAGGTGTATGGGTCCAAAAGAAGGTCATGAAGACACTGCAGCACTGCAGAGAGGGCTGCAGCACCTCTCCTGTGGAGACAGACTGAGGGATCTAAGCTTGTTCAGACTGGAGAAGGCTTCGAGGAGACATCATAGCAGCCTTCCATTGGCAGCTTTCCAAAGGAAGCTTATAAGCAGGAGGAAGACTGGCTTTTTATACCATCTGGTAGTGATAGGACAAGGGAGAAAGGTTTTAAACTAAAAGAGGGGAGAGATACAGGTTAGATGTTAGTAGGAAACACTTTACTCAGAGGCTGGTGAGGTGCTGGCACAGCTGCCCAGAGAAGCTGGAGATGCCCCATCGCTGGAGGTGCTCAAGGCCGGGCTGGATGGGGCCTTGGGCAGCCTGATCCAGTGGACAGCAACTGGCTCATGGTGATGGGGGTTGGAACTTCAGTGGCTTTAGTGGCTCTTCCAACCCAAGCCAATCTATAGTTCTATGATTCTGTATCTCTCTTACTCTGCTACCTGCAAGTGCTTATGTGCACACTAAGAGAAACTATTGTTTTCAGACTTGAAGAAAGAAGGAAATAACATTTTTCAAATGGCATTTGGTAATTAAGTATGTGAAAAGTCAGTAGCCTACTTGCTTTTCCTTCTGTACCTTCACTGAAGTCTTTCTGTAAACTGAAGTAATACAGTAGAGCTGACAGCCTGGCTCAATGACAAGAAATTAATAGTCTACCTGGAAAACGCTCATCATCCTTATATATTTTGTAGTGCAGGAAAAAGTAATGCTTAAGGGCTATAAAGACACAGCCTTACATCTGTATTTTCAGCAAACTCTGGGACATTTTTAGATTTGTTATAGAAACCTTATCAGCTATCAAAAATATTGGTACTAAACAGCTCTATTGCCTACTATTGAAATACTGATACTAAGCAACTCTAAATCCTATACATTTACTTGAATAAGGAAATTTACCAGTTCTAAACTTCCACACTGCAGAGCATTTATGTTCCCTTCCCTTTGTGTAGCATATTAACTAGTTTCTGTATTTTATTCATAATTCATTCATTACAGGAAAAATATCTATTTGAACACATCAATGACAGCCTGTGTTTTCCAGAGATAAAAGCTGCGACTGCAGTCTCTGAAAAGCCACCTTCCTCACAGGCAGTCGCAGGAGCCAAAGGTGCTGGGGCAAGTGGCAAGGCCATCAGGTGGTGTAATTAATAGCAAGTGAATTGGAGATTCTTCTCTCCATCTCTCTGCTGGAGACACTTTGTAGGGGAATATATGTAATGAGAAGCTGCTGAGAAGATGGCACCTCTTAGGAGATGGTCAAGCAAAGAGCAGCAGGAACATACCTGAACATACACTCTGTTTCAAATGTTTACACTGTCTCTGTAACAGTTGGAGGGTTGGGTTTCCCTTTACTGCATTCTTAGATCCCTTCCATCAGTAGCCAAGTTAGAAAAAGACTACAGCCTTTTTGCAAAGCAATTGCTTTGGTTAAATTGACTGTTATGCAAAACGGCCAGTGTGCTTTCCTCACAGTAAGTAGTGCCTGCATATTTCTGTTGGCTACTCAGTGTCCAC